AATCTGCTGGACTATGCAAGAAAAATGTCTGTCATGACAAATGTCACGGTGAGTTCACCATGACATATGTCATATACTCCCTGTTTTGTTGATGTGAAAGTTTCCAATAAACTAATATATTATTGTTAATATTGTAATTTTAAAATTTTTAATCTTTGACTAAAACAAAAATTAATTTTCTTATGAAATGTGGAAGAATCATTTTTAAAAATCAGAAATCATGATGAGATTTTCTCAATTCTAATTCCCAGAAATTTTCTGATATTTCTGATTCTGATTAATCATCCCATCACTAATAATAATAAATCTGATGAGATTTTGAAAAAGGGGGGGGTGTCTTGGATGTGTGTGCTGCTGGTGACTTTGTTCTTGCTCTTGACATTAACTGGGAAACTAGTGTATTTCTCTAAATTAACTAATCAAATTAATCAAAAGTGAATAATACTAACTAGAAATCATTATTCTGAAGAAATATTAAGAACTGATAAGTATGCACCATTCACCAATTAAATGTGGAAGACCTCCACTCAACTGAACCAAACAGAATAGCAAAAAGAATCAACCAGACACATCAAATTCCAAACTTATAACGGATTATAATTTGTTAATGGAAAAAGAATTACAAGAATTATCACTAGAAATCAACAATCCTCATATGGAAATAAATTCACAAATCCTGCAAAATTTCCCAGGTGAGTCTAATATAACTAATCCATCCACTTTGATAAATTTGAGTAATATTTTAACAGCAGATTTATGGGAAAAAATTTCGGAATTGATTAATACTTCGAATGATAAACTATCCACCCAAATGAAATCTATAAAAGAAGATTTGAATCTAATCCATAGAACTATATGAGAAAATAAAATTCAGTTTCAAAAAATGGAAAGTCTGACAATTTAAAATTACAAATCGATAATTTAAAAATTGAAAAACATCTAATGCACAGACAGTTCTCTAAATAATTAGAAAATATAGAAAACCTTATAGGATAGATATTACTAAGAATTTAAAAATATTTTCCTTACTGATGACTCACTTTATTTGAAATACATAGAATAAAAATCAGAGAGAAAAATAATTACCAAATCATAGAAGTAGGAAGTAGGAAATATATAAACAAAATTTGCTATATATTTTTATTACCAAAAGTTATTCATCTGTTACGTCTCCAATGCAGAATCCGAAACAATATAATGTTTATCAAAAACTTTAAAATTTAAAAAAAAATTCATAGATAACACAGGTCTGCAAAAAAAAATTTTTTCCAGCTGCATGGAATATTTTTGCTGAATTATATGTTTTAAAGATCACAGATTAATTTGTGATCTTTAATCTAAAAATAACTTCCGTTACATCCTATCNCAAAAAATTATACATGTTTTGGAAATGTTGAGTGGAATTAGTCTAGAATCGGTTAATTTTATAGAAGAAAACCTTTCGAACAGCCTTAGTCCGTAAAGTTCCCACCTATCAGGCTGCGATTGGATCATGTATTTAATCGTTCCTATAACGTAAAATTCGATTAGCGTGGAACGTATCTAAGCGTTATAGGGGGGGTCTACTGTATATATATAAACAATTTTAGAGTCATAAAATACTTTGGCATCATATTCTGCATGTTTGCTTTTATGTATAGCCTGAACAAACATCTGTGACAAAATGGGACCATCTATTCAACAGTTGTAACATTTTCAACTAGAGCCATTTGTTTATAGAAGTTTCTTATAAAACAACTTCAAAGGTGTGAAAATGCTGTAATTTATAAGATTGAAGATGTTCTGTTGTTGTTGTTGTTCTATCTTCAAATTGCAGGCATCTCTAAATTCTTCAAATTGTAACAATAATCAATCTTCAATTATATGAGCACTAAGGTGGCTTTTCTTTTTTTTACTAGACTTATTATACCATCAGTAAAAGGAGGACAAACTTTTGAAAAACTTTTTATTCCTTTGAGAATGCATTTCAGACAATTATGTCCCTTTTCAACTTTGTGTGTTACAACTATATAGGGGAAAAAAAAATTACAAACAAGTTACCATAATGTATATAAGTTTGTACAAAAAACATCGTGATGTTACAAATTTGTAGAACATCATCAGGAAACTTATGTGGATTATGAGAAATGCAGTTGCATTGTTACAATACGAAGCATATCACACAATAATCAATCTCAACCTTCCTTATATCTTCCAGCAATACTTTATTAAAAATAAATGTTTTTGGCCTAGTTTATGTGCCTGCTTCAGGATCTGCATATTCAAATTGAACAGTTTACTGAGTGTTCCAAAATTTAAAAATTCCATTCTTTAAATTGACTTTTTAAAAATAAGGATTCTTTTTAAATCAAACAATCTAATTTATTGAATTAAATAATTCAATAAAGCCATTAGCATTATTAACTAATTCTTCTTCATTACCACTCAAACCAGAAACAATAATGTTATTTTTCTTCGAATCATGTACAGAGTCTATATCATAATTCTGAAGAGAAAATTTATCCATACATACAGTTTTAAAAGGTAAAAGTTCGGTAATTTCTCCTTCCAGGCGAGATAGATGTTCATTGTACTCCTTATGTAAATTAGACAGCCAGTCAAATTTCGATAGAATAGTATCAAAATGTTCCTCGAGAAAATACAGAATCTTCTGAGGTAGTTGAGAAGGAATATCCTGAGTTGCAAAATAGTCATCCAGTTGAGATGATTTCAACATCAGTTCACTTGGAGATTGACAACATTTACCAGCAGAAGTCAAAGTTTTATTGCAAGGTGAAGAAGGTGGTATACAAGACATTGGACCTGGGTAAAGTTCAACTCCTCCAATAATAGCAAAAAGAACAAAATTAAATAAAAAGTATCACAGTAGAAAAAAGACATCCTCAATAAAGTCAATTAATTAATGGCAACCAGTTAAATTGTAGTTCGTAACAGTAAGTCATAGATAAAACACACCAACAGCGAGCACTGTCAAAAGCACCCCCCTACAGTTGTAACAAGTGTATTTGGATGTTCAATAGTGCTAATGAGGAATCAAACAGATTTTTAGACATTAATAAATAAAGAAAGAAAAAAAAAACCAAAATGAAATGTACCTGAATGTACCAGTGGATGTAAATTGGTTATTTTTTATAAAAAATCAGACAACACTACATTGCTCTTGCTTCATGAATTACTGTAGAGGCATTGCCATTTTATCCATCCATTGTTCTATGTTTTCATGCATCACCAATGTTGACAGTTGCAGTTACTGTTACTTCTGATTTAGAAGCTTCACGAGTGGAAATTACTACACTATTGTTCATTCTTCCAACTAATAATGGCCTTTTCCTGGTTTTCTATTGAACGTGCTTTATATTTATTCTGTTAATTTTATTTAACAAAATATTAATACTATTTTAACAAAAATTTATTATACAGAGGTTCATTTCACAAAAATTTCACAGGGTACACAAACAGTATTATCACTTTGTTATTCACTATAAGTATAGACTATTTTCATTTTAGTTGTACAGTGGAACTTGTTTACTGTAATCACTTAGAGTCACATATTGATGATAACTAACTAACTGATAAAATTAAGTGTGGTAAATAAACAAGACTATAATAAGTAAAATTAACAGTTTTATTGATTTCCTTTATAAACATATATTAAACCAATCTATCAGATGAGTTTTATAAAAAAAATTGTAAACACTAATAACAAATAAAATAGTCATGAAGTCCGACCACACTGGAAATATGACACATGACTTCTGTCTCCATCCTGTCTATCTTTAATTAAGAACAAAAATTTAATAGCATTAATGCCCCTTTATAAGCTACTATGCCAAATTTAGATTCTTAAACTTTACCCATTCTGAGTTATTGTTTAATGTCTCAGAACAGAGAATAAAGAAATTAAACAAATTAAATGCCAGCACACACACACACAGAAATTTCTCCCTTTATTTAACATTTTTTGAGTTCAGGAGGTCTCTAAATGTGTAGATTTGCAAAAATGCAGTGGGACAAATTTGACATGATTCCAATATTTTTCTGTTTTTATATACATAACAAGTTGGGAAGTAAAAAAAAGTCAGAGTTGGCGGATTTTTTGACAACTATGACTCAAAAACCAAAACTCCGACTCCACAGCCCTGCCGCCTTTAAGGGTTGTCTAGGACTAGAGACCATTATTTGATTGTTCCTCTTCATGATGACAAACCTTGGCAAGAACACCAAAATGGCTTCCCATTGCCTTCCTTGAGTTTCACAGTTTTCCTTCTACTTCTGGTCCTACTTGATTAAGGCCCACCAGTGGCCAAGCAGTTCCATTCCCCAAACACTGGGAGTTTGGTTGTGGGTTCGTGCCTTGCCAAAACAGGATAGCCACATGGAGTTTTCCAAGTTTTCCCCATGACTGTAATGCCTGAATAGAGACCAGTTATCCTTAAACAAGACCTCCTGAAAGGCAGATTGCCCAAGTGTTGCATTGCCATAACTTAACAAAACAAACAAACAAGCCTACTTGATTAAATTTCCTAATCAAAATTGTATCAAAATAATGACAAAATCAATTAAGAGAAATATAAAAATTACTGTTCTCTAAGAAGGTGACAATCAGAATGTATTTAAATTAAAAGTTTTAATACTAAAATTTTTCTTTTTATGGCTGTGATATTACAGTGATTATGTATTAACATAGGCAATCCAGAATGAAAGGGAAAAGAACTTGGTACTTATAAAATCAAATCAAACCTTCATAATCCATCATCCTAATAATTTTTTTAAAATTTAACATTGTATTTTATCAACTAAATATATATTTTTAAAAAATAATTTGTAAACATTTATATTATTGTAATTAATTATTATATATTAGAATAATTAAATATATCTAAAGCAATGTTTCTAATTATTATTTATAAATTAAGTGAATTTTTTTTCTGGAATTTTTCATTGAATTTTTACTTGAAATCTAAATTTAATTTTATGATTTTCATATAAAAATAACTTACTGTGCAAAAAGAGCAGCGTCTCCACAAGGAGCAGTTGAAATGTACAAATGAAATGTTATTTCACTACAGATCTTTAAAGTTTTGCCATCTTCACATAGTTCAAAGATTGAATTTTCTTTTCCTTGGTGGTATGCTTTTAATTGTTGATATAAATACCTGAAATTATTTATAGAATTGAGTGTAATTTCAAAGTGCTCTAAAAAAATTTTACATTAATTATACAGTAAAAGGTCAGTAATCTGACTTAATTTGGGAAAGCCTAGTCTGAATTAGTAAAAGTTCAAAATAATACAATATTTTTGTGAAATGACTGTCATGCTGCATATAAACGTGAGAGACCAGCATGCCAGAAACCCCAGAGTTCTTAGCATGCCAGTTAAACTGCAACTAAAATATAAAATTAATTGGATCTAATAAAATTAGTTGTTAATTAAATGTTAAAGAAAGCATTCTTCCAAATACAATAAAACAACAACATTATAATTAGACTGACTTGTAAACAAAAACTCTCTTCCTGATTTTAACACAAAACAAGTAATGACATATTGATGGTGGTGGTAGTAGTAGTAATAGTAGTAGTGGTAGTAGTAATAATGATAGTGGTAGTCAGTCAGTATGGGCTAAATTGATCATCTACCTCAATCTTAAAAATAAACCTTTTCAAATTTCACACAAAGCCAATGTTAATCGGTGTAAGCTGAGATAATATACAGTGAGTTTCTTAAATTAAATGTGTTTATTTTTGCATTTTTGAATGAAATAACAATAAAATATATACAAAAAACACTTTCAGTATTCCATAAGTTTTTACATCATTAGAAAGAAGACAAAATGAAGAAATTAAACATATAATCATAGTTTTTGATGTAATGCTGACAGCTTCAGTTTTTATATGATGTAATTTGTTCATTTTTTTAAATGCACCCTCTGGAGAGGGATGTATAATCTCACTTAAACCAACATGCCAGCATTCCCCAGGATAAACCAGTATGCTGGTTTACCATACAGAAATAGCTGATTTCATGGGCTCCCCAGATAAACCGGTATGGCAGTCATTCTGCAAATATACAGTAAAGATTTTACTCAAATGCATTTTATATGGTCCAAAAAAACATACTTAAAGTCAAATTTTACTATGTACTTTAAATGAACAAATACAGTGGTTTAATAAACTTTTACAATGCAAAAGTAATACCAACATTATTCTTGTCATTATCAACATTTACTAATTTAAAGTAAAAAAAAAAAAGCTAATTTTTTGTGATTCCTTTTCTAACTGCTCCTTGATTACATCTTGATGCATCTGTCTAAGAATAGTAATAGTTGTTAAAGCCTAAATTAAAATAAACAAATCTAGTCTTTTAAATTATTATGAATTAATGAAGTTTTACTGTAGTTTAAAAACAGTCCTTTACAAACATCTTCAGTCCTATCTTAGCAACAGGAGTGCAGATGTTTATACAACACAAAATAACATAGTAATACCCCATCACTCGAGGCTGTCCTCAGGGATCCAGGTCTGATCCTGTCTCTGGAACATAGCCTATAACTCTATTCTGCACTTAAATGACATTTTGCCTCCTGACTGCTGCATACAGGGTTATGCGGATGACCCCAATTATCCTAGCTTCACAGAGGAACAGTGAACACTTACAGGATATAAGCAACAACAGTCTCAATAACATTCACCAGTGGTATATTAAGCATAAGCAACCCATTAACACAGACAAATGTGAAAGCATGATAGTTGATAGGAACGCACTACTCATCAGGAAGTTTACCCTTCAAATAGGTGCTCACAGAATAAAGCATATGACAGAAATTAAATATTTAGGTGTTATTCTTGACAAGAGACTTGACTTCACACCCCATATCAAATACATCACAGAAAGCTAAAAATATAGCCAACGCCCTCATTAGTATTGCTAGGAACACATGGGGCCTTGGCCCTAATGTTACTAAGCTTATTTACAGGGGTGCAATTCAACCAGCACTCCTCCATGCTGTACAGGTCTGGGAACACATGGCCGCCAAAGTCCATAACTACAATAACTATTTGTTTTAACATTTCATATCATCATCATCATCTTGAAAGTATTTTAAACACTAAGAAGTGATTAAATTAAATGCTCAAGACCAGCAATGTTCATTTGAATTGATGTGACCATTTGAAAATTACAGATAAAAACATTTATTGGTACATATCCATATCGTGTGATCTGCTTTCAACAATTATTATTTGAAGTGTTAATATAAAATTCCATTGATTTTAAGACATGTCTCTACTTCAGACCCATAAAAACAAGTAAAGTTCATCTTAAAGTAAGGAAATACAACATTTTAATTTTCTAAAAATGTGAGTAAATGGCAGGTTAATAAATTTATTTCTAAAAATAAAGTATTTTTTTAGATTATTACAGTGGTACCTCAGGTTACGAACGCCCCAGCATACGAAATTTTCAGGATACGACATGAAATTCGAACATATTTTTGCTCCACGATACGAACAAAAACTCACCATACGACGTTACATTAGTTCGCATTTTTCATTTGTTTT